TTTCTAATGAAAGTGAGGGAGCCTCTTTTATGGAATAAGGGCTCGCTCCTCAATACATAAATAATGGGCTAAGTCCCCCAAGTATTTTTCATGAGGCCCAGTTGAGGCCCAATATATGGTACATAATGTAGTCCCTCAAGTCTTCTGTCAATAGAGTCTATTGGCTGGAGACTTTAAATTGAATCCATGTATGGGCCGAAGTGGCGGTTGTTCGGATGCGGTATTTGTATACCCTGCACTGAAGCTTTGTAAGTGAAGCTTTGAAGCTTTGAAGCTGGAGTTCTGTAAATGAAGCTTTTGAAGCTAGAACTTTTGTAAATGAAGCTTTTGAAGTTAGAGCTTTTGTAAATGAAGCTTTTGAAGCTGTAACTCTATAAATGAAGCTTTTGAAGCTAGAACTTTTGTAAATGAAGCTTTTGAAGTTGATTGACATGAGTGATGCTCATGAATGTTTGATTGACATGAGTGATGCTCATGGATGTTGACATGAGTGGTGCTCATGAATGTTGACATGAGTGATGCTCATGAATGTTGACATGAGTGATGCTCATGAATCTTTATGTATGATTGACATGAGTAATGCTCATGTATAATATGAAGTACTGGGTGTACTTTTGATCACCTGGTTGGTGGCATGAAGGAGAGTACGTGTTGTACATTTTATCACCTGGTTGGTGGCATGAATGCTAGTTGCCAAATGATATTTAGAGTACGGGTTGTACATTTTATCACCTGGTTGGTGGTAATAGCGGCAGATTGCCGAATAATTGTGAAGTACTGGGCGTACTTTTGATCACCTGGTTGGTGGTAATAGCGGCAGGTTATCGAATAATTGTGGAGTACTGGGCGTACTTTTGATCACCTAGTTGGAGCTATTTTGGGCTTATGGGCCTTCGCCCTCTACACAATATTCCAGCCCTATGCTGTTTTTTTTTAATTAATTACCCTCTGATGGGGTTTATCCATATTACCCTCTAATGAGGTTTATACAAATGTTTCCGAAAGATGAGGAAAATAAATTACATCATTCTCTTGGGGTGTTTATTCCTTGCTTTTGCAGTGTTTTTCTGTTGCACTCTCTCTGTCTCTTCATCTGGCAGACATAAGGAATCATAATAATAGGAAGATCTTTGCTTTTCTCTTTTCTGCTTTTCCTTTTGCTTTTGTTTCTGTTTTACTTTTGCTTAGTTGCTGCTGGGACCTTGTAGTGGGATGGCATGTAAGGAAAGCTTCCCTTTTCTTTTCCTAACACTCCGTGGTCCACGAGTCCCCAACTTGTTATCCACCTGCACTCTTGATTCAATAGCTGTTGCGCCAGATGCTAATTGCTCCCTAAAGGTGGAGAACAAATTGCTTTTAGTCCCTTCAACATAACTTTGACTGGTGGAAGGCTGCAAAAGAAATGGGTGAATCAAAACATTGAGTAAACTCCGCAAGATAGGTTTATCAAGATGTATCAAGATGGGTTTATCCCCTCCGTTTCTCTCTGTCATTCTCATCCGGCGCAAACTCCGCAATCACAATATCGACAATACTATCACAATTTTTGAGAAAGCCTCTGCTTCCCTTGGCAGAGGTCAACATATATAATGGCTCTCCAGATTCTATCACAATTCAACCCTTTCCCCCTTTCATTATCTCTATTTTTCCCAAAAATCGACGACGTGAACATCGATGAAAGCCTATGCTTCCCCATCATCGCAGCCGCTGCTGTGAGCGACAAATTGGGCTTTCAGATCTGAAAAAAGAAAGTTAAATTTTAGGGTCGAAAGCGCATTCTTTTAGGACCAGTTTGATGATGATAGTGGTTTGGGTCTGAAGGTCGGGGAGAGAAGGTTGTGTAATATGAGAGAGAGTGCCATTTTTCTTGAGTTTTTTTTGTTGCAGAGGGTAGAGAGAGAAATTTGAAGGTGGTTTTCTCTAATGGTTTCTGTAAAATTTACTCCTTGGAGTGGACGGAAACTATGAGCGATGGCCATCAAACCCGTCGTCGAAGTTGAGATAGTAGCTCTGAAGATCATAGATGTACCGGTTGTAGCTCTTTCGCCATCCCAAACCTTGTTTCCATTGTGACTTCAACTTCCAAAACAACCGCCTTCAAAGATATGAACCGCGACAATAACCCACTGAGGATGCACTGCTTTGATTGCCAACAAGCTTGACCTCAGACCCAGCGCTTGCAATTCTCTTCAATGGCTCTGAACACTGGATTTCCAACAGACAGAGATGCTAGAAACTTTCATGTTTTTAGTCCCTTTCACGGTGATAGGGTGTAGTTTTACGACTTGAAGAAAGCATCAAACTTTACGATATGGTTTTTCTCTGGTTGTAGGGATTTGAGGTGGTCGGTGGAGTTTGACTTGAGAAATGACAGCAGTTTGTCCTGAGTCGGACCTTTTGACCCAGCCGCGATCAGGCTCAACAGCACGTGGATGGACAGCGGCAAGTGCACGAGGTTCGAGTGCTTGCCTTCGGTCTGAAGCAGCTGCTTCGTCAGCCCCAGAGTGAAGTCGTTTTGGTTGATGATGCTTTCTCTCAGATCCATTTCTGCTGTGCTTAACTTTTCTCCGGTCGGATGATACTTTGGTTGCTTCGGCTGTGCCACATGGTGACCTGCTTTCTCTCCATTTTACAAGTCTGCCCCTCACCCAAAACTCTGCAGAATATGTAAAAAGATGAGAGCTTTAGTTTGTGGGTTTTGCAGGGAAAAGTGAGAGAGTGAGAAGAAAGATGGGAGCTTTTGTGAAAGCAACTTCTGGGTTTGATTTTGTCGGTGTGTTTAGTGAGGATGAAGTGGTGGTGGTTTAGAGAGAAGGTTGGACATAGCCATCTCTTTGGAGGAAATGAAATGAAAAGTTTTCTGAAAAAGCCCAAAGAGGGAGGTTTTGGGTTCTTGGGTTGTGCAGATTCACGGTGGACCGTGATGAGGTCTCACGATGGTGAGATGAAAAAATGAAAGAGAACCGACATGATTTTGTGTCGTTTTCCACAGACGGCGCCAAATGTTGATGCACAAAATCAGTAAGGATTTTGGTACAACAGAAAGTGTTAAATTTATGATCTTCGCTAGATTGCACCGGTCACTAGTGTGGATAAGTATGTAAATGGATAGAGACAGGGAAGCAAACACAAGATGTACGTGGTTCACCCAGATTGGCTACGTCCACGAAGTAGAGGAGTTCTAATTAATTGTGAAGGGTTTACACAAGTACATAGGTTCAAGCTCTTCTTTAGTGAGTACTAGTGAATGATTTAGTACAAATGACATTAGGAAATATTGTGAGAGAATGATCTCTATTTATAGAAGAGAGTTTCTAGTTTCATTCTGACATTGACACGTGTCGTGTTGTGATTGGTTTCTGATGTTGACACGTGTCGCACTATGATTGGCTTCTGATGTTGACACGTGTCGCGCTATGATTGGCTTCTGATGTCGACACGTGTCGCGCTGTGATTGGCCTCCTGGTTGGAGGGAAACTCTTCTGGATCCTTGACGGTATAACGTTGACCGGTGTTCAGTAGTTTCGGGATTGGTCAAGTATGGTACAAACAATGAGATTAAATTAAAAGACATGTACTTGTCACTAAATGAACCACATTATGTTCCGGTGTATATTATACATCAACATTTATTGCCGTTAAATTCTTGGTATAAAATTTCAATATATAAAAACAAAACCTAGAGCATAGTAATGAGACCCTAAATTGTACCAAGTAGCCCACGAACACCAAAAGAAGAGTAGATTATATGTCGGTGCTGCTGTGTACATACACTCAAATCCTCCAATATAAATACAAATCGAGTTTCACGTGCACCAGCATACGGCCACGTTCAAAGACTTAGAAGTCAAACTTGGAAATTGATTTTTGACAAACGAAGCATTAGTAGATTAAATTATTGGATTTGGATCCTCGCTGGATTCCCTTCCTAAGGATCTTAGGGATCAACGAATACAGACTGTTGATAAAAAATCATGCGGACTCAATTAAATGTTTTTTATATTTTTAAAAGTAAAACAACATCATTTTGGGTGAAAAATATAAAAAAAGAAAAAATTATGACCGCACGATTTTTAATCAACAGTCTGTGTTCGTTGATCCCAAGGATCCCCAAGGAGGGGATCCGACGAGAATGCAAATCCTAAATTATTAGTATTACGAGGAAGAGGCTCAGTGGGAATCAAACCTCCACCAAAGTGCAAAGATATAATTACTTTCCGCTACTGAGATAAAGCATCATCTACTGAAACTTGATAAACTTGAAACTTAGAACCTTGTAGATAAAGGAAAAGGATCCTTGCTGGATCCCTTTCCTGGGAATCCCATGATCGTGACCGTTCATCGTATATCATGCGGTCAATTAGTTTTCTTTAAGTACTATTTATATTTAATTTTAAATTTTAAATTTTAAATAATTTCTAACCGTACGATATACGATAAACGATTATGATCACGATCACGAGATCGCTGAGATCCCAGGAATCCTTTTCCGTAGATAAACACGTTCGGCATATAGAAGAATGTCCGTACAGACCAGACCAGGCCCATATCCACTTTACGATGACAAAACCTCTCCCTAACTTGGTTTTTAGATTCTAATGGCGTTTGATCAAATCGCATTCTCCTCTTTCACAATAAACTACAAGATTGCAGACAAAAGCTAGAAAAATGGACCAGTGGACGGATACATGTCTGCTAAATTCGTCGATCGAATCACTTGGAAGACAAACGAAAATCGTCAAAATCCCAGCTGGACAACCAGTTGACGATTTTCGTTGCAAACAAACAATGCATCAACTAGACAACAGTTGATGGATGCCTACCTGCTATGTATTTCGTATTCATGTGAGATTTCATACCGAACGTATAGAATATGCTAAGCATTCGATGAGAATCAGACCTATTACACCTCAAGGGACATGCTCAGAACACAAAAACACTACGCAAGGATGGCATACATCGAATTATCCGGTAATGAACTAACACGTTAGGAACTGGGATTCTGTCGAAAAATACAAAGTTCTGTCATTCATTGCATGTAAAGTTCACTAATAATCCAGTACTTAAACAAGCAATAAGTTGTAGGGAGAGAATCTGGAAACAGAACCACCATGCTGCGACAACCAGGCAAAATCGACAACATTACAGACAACAGTAGAATATGAACACTTAACCTGATGAGAACAAAAAAGATGAACTAGCAGATATACAATGCAAGAGGTTGATTACACCCTAATATCGAGTTAGCAACTTAGCGACTTGAGACTGACATTCAACCTACTGCCAAGCGAGAGCAAGAATTACTGAAAATATAACAATCATACACAACATCTTCAGTCTATAATCTTGCTGTCCCTGACCTGTTCCCCTGCGGAGGTGATGTCTATGTATATGGCCGCCATGAAATGCATTTGAGAACCCATGAGGAAATCCAGCACTTTCACCGTAAATGGTGGGATCAGGAAACCCATGCAGCGGAAAATTGAACAGTGAAGGGATAAAGCCACCAATAGCTGCAGAAAATGTGAAATTCCCAAACCTTGTGGTTGCAACTGGTGCAAACCCGCCCAAACCTCCCATCCCTCCCATGAACCCAAATCCACGGTGAGCAAAATGGTTCTGTTCTGGTGGAGGAGCTGTTTCGGGTCTTTGTCCTGCTGGACGGTTTGGGATACTAATGCCAGGAATGGACTTTGATCTTGGGTCCGTTGATGTCTTTCCCCTACCGTATAAAGGAACCAAACTCTCCTCCTTTACAAGGGCTTTGCAAACAGGGCATTCCTGAGAGTGGGAGTGAATATGGAGCCACTTGTAAAGGCAAGGCCAGCAGAAGAGATGGCCGCATAGGGTCACAATTGGGTCTTGGGCCAATTCAAAGCAAATATTGCATTCGAAATCACCAGCGTCACCATTATTGTTACTGCCGGAGAATGAAGGCCCTTGGGACGACCTACTCGTTGATTCGCCGAACCCACCTCCCATCCCTGGACAACCCTAAACGAATTAGTTCATTCATATCGAAACCAGCCACTAAAACATCAAAATTTCCTTAAACCACAGGTCCACAACACAAAAACATCACCATTTCAGGCAAGCCCCAATTGCACCGACTTAAACCCGGACTTAAAAAAAAAAAGAAGATACTCCATTGATAATTAGTAATTAAAATTCCAATCAAACAACATGAAATAGAAAATCTCTGAAAACCCAGAAATCTAAACCTCAATTTAGCTTAAAAAAAAAAGGAAAAATTCGCCATCATGACATATTTTCCTGATCATATGAAAGTTAATATATTAAGTCACAACAATTCGAGTTTCAAACTAATCGATTCAAACACCCCCAAGATCTCGTAAATCACAATTCCATACGCCAAATTAACCGACTTCGACAAAAAAATTGAAATTTTATTCATCGATGCAAACAATCCGAACAAACAAAAAAAACAATAAATCCACACACTAATCCGATCGAATACACGAATTGAAATTGCGTAGGGATCGCTACTGACCTTCACATATAAGAAGTGAGGCGGATCGAAGGCCAGTCAATCCGAGCACCGGCGAGAGATCTCCGTTGACGGGAAGGAGGAAGAGTGCAGAGAATTTGGTGTTTGGTGGGAGGTGCAATTTTGACGCTGCTTGAGATCTCCGGACTGGAGATTGTTTTTCATACCAACCTGGCGGCTTCTGGATGGCAGATTGTGCCTCCTCGAATTCTAGCCGTTGGATTAGATTATGGATTTCCGATTTTAAGTCAACCGTGTCAAAAATGAATAATCATGAGGTGTTTGGGCCTAACTAGGCCCATGATAGTTTGGGCTTGGGCTAATTCGTCATCTGTTTTGGATTTTTTACCATAAATTTGTACCGGTTTTTATCGCCTCTGCCGGTCGTCATCGCCGCTTTCCTTCTAGAACTGACCCAAATTGACAAATTGGTTCTGGTAAGGCAGTCTACTGTTTTTCGAAGCCGAAAAAACTTACAAAGGCATTTCAGCCTTCATGGCTCATGTGATTAATCAAGGCAAAAATCGAATCTAAAACTTGTTAAGTAAAATATAAATCTAAAATTCGTCACGATTAAGTGGGCACCCACTTTTAGTTTTAAGGTAAGCTTCATTGATTAGAAGGTCTGGTGGACAAGAAGATTTCCAACGACCAAGGATGTCTTGTCGTTAGTGTACGATGCAGAATGCGGTTAGAAAAATGGCCACTTGGACATTTGTTGTCGCCTTCGTATTAATATGTCTAACCAATTTGCTGCCCACATAAATTTGACGTATATTCTGCAAAATATCTTCCTCTAACATGCATTTTGTATCACTTATTTTTGTGTTCAAGGGTGAATTGTAAAACACACCAAAATAAACACATTAACATAAATAAATGTGATCTTTATAATATTTAATTAAGAATCCTATGAAAACAGATGAACAAAATCATCACGGGATGGTTTAGTGGTTGGGAAAAAAATTTAGATGTGCATTCCACACGACAGGTCATGAATTTGATTCATGCCACTGGTGAATCGTTCGATGGTGGGCAGGGGAAAGGTGAAATGTCTCTGTGAGACAGAAATAAGAATTAAAAAGATTCACACATCAATATTTTATTGAGTAATATTCGAACTTAGATGTAAAAAGAACAAGAAATTGTTCAAACTAACTTTGTTACATTCAAGGGTGTTGTTGAACCGTTTTTTAACACGAAAAAATGAGAATAGTTCAAACAACAATTATTTAAGGGTAAAGAAAGTCAAACTTCTCATGTAAATCATGTTGCATTGCATGCATATCATAGCGCTCTTATTGTCAATTCATGATTTTCCTTATCTCTCTCTAGAACGCCAAGTGTATTGGGCAATCCAAATGCGAAAATAAAAAATCCTTCTAGACCACGACATCGACATCCAACATCTGCCAATTATCTTCTTTATTTGCCTTTACCTTTTTACTTTTTTCGCTTATCACATAACACGTGTATTCTATTAACAAATTAAATTACAAATGTTATTCTTACCATTCAATTGTACCATTAGATGACATCTTAGGTAGACCATTAGATGACATCTTAGGTAGACAATCACACCATTTAAAATGATATGAATTTTCATTCAATTAAAATAACAAAAACAAAAACAAAAAAGAAAAAGAAAAAAAAAGAAGGAAAAACCCTAAAACCTAGCAAACGTTAAACTTCACGTTTCTTCTTCTGTCGTCCTCTATCCTTCTTCATCCATTGTCGTTTTTCTGCAAGTGCAAGCAAATTGGAGGTGAGAATAATTTGGTTTTCAAAGAAAAAAACAAACTAAAGCAATTGAGGGTGCTTAAATTCAGTCTACAGCAATACTGGACTTCCAACTAACATTCAATAGTCAGCGAGTTTAAAAATAGGGATACTTTGGATGCGGTTCCTAATTCTTTGACTAAAACCTTAATGGTATTCAAAGTTTGATCAAAGTCCCTTGACTTTGTACACCTCATTATATTACAATTAATATTTATAGTTTTGACATTAATTGTTTGATATTTTATGAGATTTATAATCCTATAAATTTAAAATATCTCATTATAATACTATTAGAAACAGTTACAATAAAAAAAATTCAAACATTTTGATTGAATAAATGGATAAAAACTATGTAAAAATAAGAAATAAGAAATGGCAAAAGAATGTATCCATAGTATTAAAAAAACATGGGTACATTTTACAAAAAAAATTGGTACATTTAACATATAACAAAGTGGTACATTACTAAAGAATAATGGGTACATTATAAATAAATTAGGGTACAGATAAAAGATTAAAAAATTATGAGTACAAATGAATTTTTTTAAAATATAGGCGCTAAAAGAAATTAATACATGGGTACAAAATATGTCACATCCCAGCCCGGGGCGGACCACTTCCTCGGCCCGCTCCACCACCGTAGCACGATATTGTCTGCTTTGGGCTTACCATTCCCTTACGGTTTTGTTTTTGGGAACTCACGAGTAACTTCCCAGTAGGTCACCTATCCTAGGAGTGCTCTAACCTCCTTTTCGCTTAACTTCGGAGTTCTTACGGAACCCGAAGCCAGTGAGCTCCCAAAAGGTCTTGTGCTAGGTAGGGATGTGAATATACATTTAAGGATCACTCCCCTTGGCGATGTGGGATGTTACAAAATAAAACTAAATATAAAATACTACAAATTTCAAAAAAAAAAGTTTTAAATTAAAAGTGGGTACAAACTAAAAATATAAATATATGATACAAAGTTTAGGCATAAAACATAAATATACCATATGTAATTTTTCTATCATTGATTAAATATACAATGTCACGTGATGGTATACACATGGGTACAAATACAAATAAAACTTAAAAAAATATGGGCACAAAAAGAAGCTAATATATGGGTACAAATTAAAAATGAAAAAAAAATTGGTACAAATTAAAAGGTACAAACTAAAAATAAAAATATATGATAAAAAATTTAGCCATAAATATAAATATACTAATTGTAACATTTTTAACACTAAAAAAATATATTTAAAAATAAAAATATTTTATTATTCAAATAATTAATGATGTTATTAATACCTATGCACCTTGATCAAAAATTGAAAATGAATAGGATTTTAATTAATGGAGTAACAAAAAGAAGGATGTGGACCTAATTTCTCCTTAAAAATAATAGTAGCAATAGTTACTTGCAATGGTGGAGCTTAAGAAGCCGATTAAAAATACGGACTCAACAAAATTACAATACTCAAAACGATTATGGATCAAACAAACAAAACAGAAGTCAGCAACAATGAAGAATGAAAGAAACGGCATATAAAGTCACAAAAAAGAAATAAAATTCTAGGACAAAAAAGAAAAGAAAAAAAGATTAGTGTTTACCAATAATCAAAACAGGGACAGTAGTGTGAACGGTGTTCTCATAAGGCATAGGGAAGATGGTGACTGAGAAAAGGTCGGCGAAGGAAGGAGAAGGAGAAGACGGTAGAAGAAGAAACGTGAAGTTTCATGTTTGCTAATTTTACGACATGTTTACGAAACTAGAATGAAAACAGAGGAGGTAATTGGACTCTGAGATAAATGAGGTATTAGGAATCAAACCATTTTATCCAAATTACCCTTGAACATTTTTCGAAATGATAATATTAGGGATATCAAATTTGCAAACCAAATGATGTGGTTGTTGATGATTGGATTATTACTTAAGTGTTGATTAACATTCTTGTTTCATATTGATGACACATCATTTGGTTTGCAATTTTGGTCTCCCTAGCATTACCCTTTTAAGAAACCCCAATAACACCCCTTCCACCTTCCGCCAAATCTCACCTTGCCACCAACGGCACCAGTAATGCACCCCAAAATCTCATCTACACAATCCCTGACAGCACCACCTCTACTATTCTGCAACCCCATCAAATAGATCGGAACCCAGACTTGCACCTCCAAGAACAACACCCAAACAACCCAAATCATCCTTACACCCAGCCATGTCACCCCAATGACTTCCTCTTCTGGATTTTCAACCCAAAATTTGACGCCTACACTCCAACCCTACGTGTGACGACCTGTCCCTACATTTACAATTTTATTAATTTAAAAAAAGACGTGATTTGATGAAAATGTCCTAGAGGCAAAGTTTTGACTTTTTGACCTTCGATTAGAGAGACATAGAACCCATTCTTTATTTGTATTCTCGAAGTACTCAACAATACGGACGTGTAGGTGCAAGCAGAATCGAATTAAGAGGGACAATAGAGATTTTACAGACTTACGAAGTACAAGGGTATTTTGATTAATTCATTATTCTAGATAAACTACTCCCTTTATTATTAATTTTTTAATATAATATTTTGTATTGTGAGACATATGGGCACATGCCTCATTTGATTCAACTCTCCCGTGTCTCCCTCATTTCTTGGGTCACTTCCCATTTGTCAATCACTTATCTCCCTCTTATCTCTCATTTATGTCACCAAACTCTCTCTCTCTTGAGTACTCTCCCTCTCCCTTAACTCCCTCACAATCTCTCTATTCTCTGTAAATCAGAGAACTTTCCCTCTCTAAGATAGGTGCACTGTATAGAAGGTGCAGCAGCACGAGCCATCACCAGCTGCCATTGAATCAGGCGAGTTCACCCCTGCAACCGTGCCCCTTCGTCTCTCACTCCTCATCTCTCTACAAACATTGAATGGTGGTCCAGCAATACTGTAATCGCCACTAACCTCGTTGCCTTGACGAGATCTGTGAGCAACAACCATGGAACCTACACCAACAGTGGGTGTACCATTATTCATCTTCGTTTCCGACCATGGTGAGCCCCAAGACCTTCACATCCTTCTTATTTTAAAGCTCATATGTCGTTTCCAACCTTAAAATGTGAATGGGGGACGATTTAACCAAGGAAACACACGGGGAAATACTTCCCCTGATTTCTGGAAAATTTGACCCATGACCATTTGGTCACTTTCAGCTCGTTTTTTTGGCCAACCTTGACCACGACTGGACTCCTAATAGGTATAGACTTATTCTCTATATCCCTAACTTCAAAATGGCTTTTGAATCACTGAGTTTGGTTAACTATTGAGTTAGAAAACAACCTTGAAAGTTGGGAAGAAATTCCCAAAATTCAGGAAAAGTTTGACTGTGGCCATTTAGCCACTT